CAATTCTGCAGGGCCCCAAATACCCCCACCGCCCCACCCACAAAGAGAAAACCAACAGGAAAACCACAATTTTTGCAGGGTCTCTAAGAAAAGACAGACACCCTCATTGTTGTTTCCACTAAGCCTCCCCAACCCTGGCTATCGTCGCTGGCCACTTCCCTGCCTCTCGGGCTCTGGCCTTGGGCGCGCACATGTTCAATGGAGACACTTCTGCATGACACTTCACCCATAAAAAGCTCCCGAAAAGGCGCTTTGGCCAGCAAGATGGACTTCTGGACGCCTGGAAATGTCTCAGAAGCGTATGTTGCTTCTTCCTGCATCAGCGTTAGCATCATCATGGCTGCATTGTCTGGCTTTCTGGAACTCAAAGCCGTTCAAACGCTTTGGTCGAAATTGAGAACCCTCAACGCCGCCTTCAGCCCCCGATCGGCATGTGGCAAGCAAAGCGCCAAACATGCGGGCCACTGCGTGACACCGGCACAACCAGCAATAAGAACAAACTTGTAACCAGGGGTTTGGGCAAATTATGCATGGACCCTTGTCCTTTTGATTTCCTGCAATTGCAAACTGGAGATTATGAGATTTAGCGCCCTGTGCACCTCCCATCTGCCCTGACCTCAATTGATTGGGTCACTCAGGACCTAGCAGTAACTGGAGCAGGTCCGAAGGACTATTGAAACATGACGCTTATCACCTGGAAATGAAGAGTCAGTGCCGCAAACCACAAGGGTGAGCTGGCCTTCCCGCCAACGCTGTTTGCTTCGGCCTGCCACCGGCGGGCTTGAGATCCTGCAGGCTAGAGAACAAGGTCAACTCGATCAAGAAACAGCGGCCACATCACCGAAGCTACATAGTTGCAAGCCGTCGGGAGGTTGCGTGACAGCCGGGAAAAAAAGGGTTACCCCCCCCCCCCCGCCCCAGTTTTTTGCTCTTCAGTTGGCTACGAAAGGGCACTGGCTCAGCCACACGTGCGCTACGAATAACACAAGCACCCTTGAATAGAGTATTGGAGTTGCTTTGCTTGGCGGCTTCGTTCCTACCTGAACAGGGACACTACATACCGAAAGCACGCGGCAAAGGAAAATCCCCTTCAAATGGCCATTAAAGTTGATTGGTTGGGTTGACCGCCTTTTTTCGAACAAACAACAACACCAAACCCGCTGATCTCTCTCTCTCTCTCTCTCTTGCTCTTCCTTTTCCCCACGCGCCGGTGATGCGTCCAATCCTCCTGCCGGGCACTGGTCCAGTCTCTCAGCACAGGGCAGTCCGCACGTTTGCCTTGGACGCTCACTGGCCGTGTCCATCCCCGCGGCATTTCCTTTTGTGGGGAAAATTGAGACCTCTGGGTCCGTTTGTGGACTCCAGCCAGCCCTTTTTCGTTTTGCTCAGGGGCTCACCGTTGTTTCTCCTAGAAAGGAACGCTCGACTCTGGCTCCTTGTCTGCTAAAGCAAAGGGGCCCTTGTGACTTTTTGCGTCTGCTCAAGATGAGAACTCTCACTATGCGTTTCCCTTGATTTGTTTCCCCATAAACATGGCCCGGACATCCTCAAAACTCTTCCCTGGAGAAGCCGAGGAACCATGTTGCCCGCGCATCACCAAAGGACCACTCACATTTCGCAACAGGACCACAGGCGGTTGAAGCAGACAGGAGACCCCGAAACAAACAAAAAAACTGTGCTCATGCACATCCTTATCAGGCAGTCCACCCCACAGCGGATGCTCCAATTTTCGCCCAGTGTCCCCGTAGGAGTGCCAGTGCTTGACAGAGATCAGGAGGCAAAGGGCTGAACACCCGACGCAGCTTCTGGTTGACATCCCGGAAGCCCAGGTAGTACCTGACTCATTGTCAGTGCAACTATTTAACGGGTACCCCGGAATAATCAAGCCCTACCTCATTAACACGGGCGTGTGCCCTTTCAGTGCGGGTTCATCTTCCCCAATAAAAGGACAGGTTTTATTCATCGTGCAAGGACCCCTGGCTCAGCAATTGACAAGTAGCCGGTGCAAGAAATTGCGCTCGCACAGGTCCGAGTCAGCCAGAAAGGTCTGAAGAGATGTGTACCGGCCATCAGTCACCTGAGACTCTGAGACCAAACCCGCGGCATCACTCGAGGCTACCGCGCCCCACCCGTCAGGAAAACACAGAGACTTGCGTGAAACCGGAAGAAAGCCATTGAGCCCGGACAGTCGGAAGATTGGAATCCTGCAGAAGGGCAGCTTAGCTGAGATGGGGCATCCCATCCGGCTGGAGAAGCTCCCCACGTTCAATGCAGCCGGTCGGTGCTGGTAGTGGTAGTGATGCTGAGAGAATCGAACGTGCTGAAATATCCGCATATGGCTTTGCACGGGGCTTGCGCCTGATCAAATCTTTTCCTACTGGTTCTGAAACAAAGCAATTGGCCACCCGTTGACCCAAGAGTGTGCGTCGCTTAGGTGAAATTCTACTCTGCTGCTTGGCATGCAGCAATAAGGCGACAAACGGCCGGCGGAGCCGGTCGAGAAACGGCCTTAGACCAGGTTTTGTTGGGTGGTGAGTTGTCAAGCGGGTTCAAACATGTTGCCGAGGGAGTTCAAGTAGTTGCTCGTGCTGGGCGGTGAGGTGGTGACCAGCCAGCCATGTGACGCCAGACGATTTTACCACAAACTTCAGCACAAACAAGTGCCATGGAAATCCCGGGCCGCCATGAACAAGAGCGAGCATGAAACCAACAACTTCCTGAAAATGAACATGAAACCCCGAACAAACAGTCCCTTTCCAAAATCGAGATTCCTCAGAAGTGACCGGCATGTTGGCTTGACCATAGTCCAAGCGTGCGTGAAATACCCCCCCCCCCCAAAAAAAAAAAAGGTCCTCAGAACCCGTCGGCTTCCTCCGAGTCTCCGTGGGGTGCCCCACGTGCGCCAGGTGCGAGCGAATCTGATGCCGGCGCCCGGTGCCAATGCCTGAGCGATAGAACGTGACCAGCGCACCCCTGGACCACGCCCCCTTTGGGCTACAATGCCCAACTAACCCCTTACCAATCATTCCTGAATTATCCCGCGCCCGTGCTTCTGCGTATGTATGTGCATAAGGCAGTTGATCAGTACTCCTGCTTGGCGAAAACGCAATCGTTGCGAGACCAATTATTTCGCGAAACTTTTGCGACCCCATCGCCGTATGCTTTTGCTTGTTACGCACGCTCAGGTGCCACTATTGCTGCTCACGCTTGAAAACGACGTAGCCACGCCGTTCACTTGTACTGGCGGGCTGCCAGCAATAAAAGGCAGCCACTAGCACTCGCCCTTTGCACTTGTGATTGTTTCAGCCCAACAGCAAGCTCCACGGGCTCTCGCTGGTCCTTCGCGAAACTTGTGCCAAAATGGCCCAGCCAACTTTTTTGTTTGCACCATTTCCCAGCTCAGGCAGGGAATCAAGGATGCAAGCACAGGTGCCCGCGTATTTCCCTGTCTACAACACAACACGGTCCACAAACATGTAAGCAGCTAAGCTTTTCGCGAATAGCAAGTTCGTTCTCTTGCGCAGGGATCTTTCGCGGGCGGCTATGGTCCTTCACGCTATAAGTCCTTACAAGGACCATGTTGATCAACTCCCATATGAATATATCTGGATATTTGTGTAGATATATATATATATATATATATATTTATATTAATATATCTTCTCCACGGGCCGGCCCTTGATTTTGTAGGGATGGGGCCGGTACAAGGCCTGGCTGGAGTCGAATCCAAGGCACGGATTACCAGCAAGCTCAGCCCAGACTGAGGACGGCTGGCATGTGCCACAACCTTCGAGGCATGGTTTTGGGTGTCTAGACCATTCATCAGTCCAAGCCAGTTGCAGGCCGCAAACCTCCTTGCCGTTTCATGAGGCTTCCCATCACTTCGGTGATTCACATGAAGGCTGAACAAGAAGCCCCGGTATAAGCTGGGGAGACAGTATATATATAGCCATCACACCGCCCACAAGCGTTTTGCAACACCACCTACATACCTCAAGAAAACAATGAATGTCTTCGTCCCTTCATCTTATCGGTAGCCTAACGAGTGTCCCGTCCTCTTCACACTTCCCCTTGTCATACACCCTGCCTCAAGGAACCTGATTGAGAACTGCCAAGCCACATGATGCTTAACACATCGAAGCGAAGATGTTTAAATCCCCCTGAGAAGTCACATGAAACCTCCCACCTCCATCAGTGAATCTGAATCGCTGTCCACTCAGAGTCTCCAGGCAACTAACCCATGGGCAGCGTGCCCAGTTCAGTTCGCCACTCATGGTTTCATTTGCGGTGGGTTGCCGTAACTCGCCTCCGTGTGGCCAGACTCCGCGAGTCCGGAGACTTGACTAGGTTGGCTTCCTCAAAGCCGGATCCGCGCTTCACAGGCTGATTCAAGTGAGTTGGCCCCCCCCTCTCCTCCGCCCCGGAAATAAGAGGGGCCAACAGGGAAAAAACAGTAAACAAATTGGGGGGTCAGAGTTGGGCCTACTCAAGCAGTCTCTCATTCAGTACGTACTTCTTTGGTACTGGTTTAGCTTGTTTTCGGTATTCCTTTGAGCTGGCCCAGTACTGGTATGTGTTTGGTATTGGTTTAGTATTCCTTTGTACTTGCTCAGTAGTCTTAAAGAATGGCTTGGTATTTCTTTTTGTATTCCTAGGCAATGGCCAAGAGCATGTTCGTCATGTTCGTTTACCCATGCTCTGCCCTTAAACAATTATCATCATCCACCAACTGACTAAGGGCTACCTGAAATAAATCATGATCATTTGCTGACCTGAGGTGCGCAACCCAAGATCGCATCCCTCAAGGTCAAGCGCGTTAATGTGTCCCAGTTTTTGCACCCAGGCTTTCGGTTGCTCAAGGTCCGACTCAACATATTCGTACTGACTCATGGACATTTCCCCCTTAGCATCCCAAGAAGAGAACCACACATATGGGCCACATGGCATTTAGTTTTATTTGGGCTTCCCTCCGGTGGACATCCTTTAGGCCGTCACTGTTGCTGTGGCATCCTATTAAAATCCCCAGCCATATCTCAAGCAAACGGCTGGACCTCGAACGCATGGCCCGCGATCGCGCGATCGCGCGATCGCGCCTTGAGGTGCGTGCGCGCTGGCTTGCCCTGGCCTCCGGCGGCAGTGCGGCCCCCATCCTCGATGCTCACCTGCGACGCTCTCGAG